GGTCAGCTCGCATAAGCGGGATTATATACACATCACATGCGAGCAACTACTTTTTGAGATGAAAATTGAGTGCATGGCGCAATCCAAGATAGTGCCTCTAGAAAACTTTAGGGCAGATTCTTATAGAACTCGACGAGCTGAGTTCAATGCTTTTTTCAGATTTTGAAAATCTCAATTTTGAACCGAGTTATAACGAAAAAACGAAAAAGGTTGGTCGCGTTTTTCGCGTGGTTTTTCGATTTTTTACGGCGAGTACCGTACGTGTTTTGCCGCGATGACACTCAGAACATCGGAGTCTGACGAGAACTGCTGGGTAGCAGTCCCTTCAAAACAATGGAATCGAGGGGACACTTACTACATAGTCATTGCTTTGTGGTCACTATCCTGCTGAAAAGTCCATAGGGAATTATCAAAGTGGATTTTCGTCCACATCAGCAGATGCGCCTATGAAAGTCCGTGTGTTCCAAAAATTTTCAACTCCTCCACCAATTACGGGTATGGAAATCCAAATAAGGGAAGAAGTTTCTGGGATGATACTTCTCTCTGGTAGCCGCAACCTTCAAATCTCTTTCATTTCTGCCTAGGGTGGTTCCAAATCTACAATTTTCCAGTTTATTTTGACGATTGGCACCCTGTGATGTGACGATTTCACTATTTTTGGGAATGGCATGATAATCCTATAGTTTCGATAAGGGGAAGACATCCTTCCTTCTTACACTATGCACAGAAATGAACATAAAAACGGAGGGTGCTTTGAAAGAATCACATGACCACAGCGCTCAATATATTTTTGGTCCAGCTTGATTTATTATACTTTGTGACCCAAGTACAGATCCACTCGTTTTGTCTCCATGCCCTGCACCCTAGCTTCGATGAATTAGCCGCTGCGAAACGTATCTCCCGCACTTGTGTCAAGAAGCACAGTAGAACTGTTGTTAAAAATTGAACGAGAACACTAATTGTCAAAAATTGCTGCAGTCTCATGATCAGGGGCAGAAATCTTATATTTATTTTATTTATTTGATTGGGTGAGTAGGTTGATTGGTTAGACCAGACGGTGTGCACACGATAAAGAACAGAATTTGAAAGCTGAGCAATCCATGATACACAAAAAAATATGAATAAAAGAAAGAAGGAGAGGAAAGGGGTCAAAGCGAACAAGGAAAGAGGACCCTGAGATAGACATAAGTAGAACAGAAACGGAAACAGAAATGAGGTGGCAGCCTTGAGTTCCTACACTGTAGCCGACAATAAGGCCGCACTCACCATCCAGAAGACCGAAAGGTCCCTGACGAGATCCTTGTCCCTCGTTCGGACGCTTTCGAGTCGAATAACGTACGGGGCTTGCAACCAACTTAACCCATGACTAACGAATTAGTCTGGCACCCCAGGCGAAAACGAGGGGGGACCTCAAGTGAGGGGTCGATCAACTGTCAGGCTCACGAGTGCGGAGTGAGAGGCACTTGCGGAAGGCGATAGGCGGCCAGAGATCAGAGGGTAAGAGAGAGAGGAGGTAGAATAAATGTTAGTATCGTGGCAGTTAGAGATGGGTAGGTTATAGAAAAAAATAGTGAGAACGTCCAGAGTTGATAATGGTGAAGATGTATTGCAGCAAGGTTAAGTGGAGTAATGAGTAGGATGTGAATATAGGGTATGTGTTCGATGGGCTGAGAGACTGGGTGTGGCGGTAAGCGTGTGGGTATCTGGAAGAAGAGAGTACATTTCAAAGACAAAATACTGGACAACTGAAACTACTATAGTGATCAATCTTCAATAATTCCAAAAGATCAAGTTTTTTCAACTTATTATTGAAAATCTTACCATTTGGTGACTGGAGCAGCTCATCTGGTAGACAACTAAGCCAGCGCGCTGTACGACAGAAAAAGTTATTGAACAAAAGAGCGTATTTCTTCCTCAGGATTCTCGCATGATGTATATGGAAGCTGCTAGTTCTACCATTGCAGGGTCGAAAAATCCAGTATTTACTAAGCCTTGAGTTTGGATTCATTCCTCAAAATACGAAATGAAAGGGCTAAATCGTTGATGGTACGCCTTAACAGCAGGTCTTGCAGACCGAGGGACTTCAATCGGTCATTGTAGCTAGGGAGATGAACCTGAGCAGTGGAAGGGAAGCATCTGAGGAAAATCAGCCTAGTGAAAGTTTGTTGTACTTTCTCTAGTTTGTGAATGTCTTTTTTGAGAATAGGGCTCCATATTGGTGAACAGTATTCGAGATGTGGGCGCACATAAGCTTTGTAGAGGGCGAGTAAGGAATTCAGATCCTTACTGCGAAAATTACGAAAAATGAGGTACAGGACCGTGTACGCTTTTTTGACTACATTATCGATATGCTCGGAGAATCTTAAATTAGAGTGTGATGGCTACTCCCAAGTCTCTAACAGACTGACAGCTTTTCAGTCGTGCCCCATTGATTTCGTAGTCGGCTTGGACTGCGTCACCAATATGCAGCACTGAACATTTTTTAAGGTTAGAGTGGCCGGAAGTCAAATTATGTCGTTTTAGAAATGCGGAGGAACTCATCAATTTTACCATACTTTCCACTTTCTGATAGCACAACTCCTCATATGTCTATTATATTGTGATACGGTGAAACTCCAGTTCGGGGGGGGGGCGCACTCCATTGCTATCTTATCCGTAATACTAGAGAGGAGCAGTTCTTTGGGCTATCGAACATTACGGTAAGATAATAGTGGGAGGGACTATTGAGTTCGAGAGTTATTTTGATATAAGGCCGGGTGGATGGTGGTGGCCTGCAGTGGAGACTTAGACTGCCCATACCCCATCCGCTTTTCTGCACAGGTGATCCACCCTGGAGCTCCTGCACCCTTAGCCCTTTGCGGAGGTGTCCTTTCTCCTGGTCCAGGACCGTTCCCTTGGGTCATGGCAGGCGGAAATGTGAAAACGTTTCAGGGTTTCTCACCCATTACACCAATATTTATCAGAAGTCTACTTTAAATGAGTCGATTGCGTGTCGTGAGCCCTCTAATCCTTATCTGAGTATTGGAGAAAAAAAAGGAGATGCGCCCCCGAACTGGGAGTTCACCTTGTGATACTACTACTTGAGATCCCAAAGTACACATTCTTTCTTAGGAAAATAATCTGTGGTCCATTTGATTCTATTGCATTTGTTGAAACTTTTTGGGTACAGCTTTGCCAAAAGGGTATAAACTCAGTTATTGGGGGGGGGCGGGTGGAGAGGTTTTCGGAGTCGGTATTTTGGCGGGATATTGGCGAGTTTGATTCAAGCGATAAGATGCAAAAAGAACTTGATGAATCTTATTGGAAATCGGTTGGAAATAATGATTCGAATCATTTACAACATATTTAGGAAACTTCGGAAACTTGTTCTGTGGGATGTCGACGGAGAGTCTTGGCGGGGGTGGGGAAAATAACCAAGAAGGGGCGGATGAAGATTTCTGGGAAGATTGTGGGGAAGGGAGGGGGACTCAGCCTTGTGGTGGCCGACTTTTTTTCTCGACAAATCGGTACTGCTTGACCTGGCTGGAACTCATGAAAACCCTCACGGCCGCGGAAAGTCTTCTGTCTCCGATGCAAATTTATGACCGCGGTTTCCTCGGCTGTCAACCAGTTCCCAACACTCTCCTCCACAATTTCCCGTCACTTATTGCTTTTGTTACCTCACCGACCTCTGAGTGATGTTATTGGAGCAATCTTTGCACCGACCTGCTTGCGAAAGCAATGTTGTTGGCAAGGAACACTTGTTGGCACTAACGAAGAGTTGACATATGCTTAATAGAACTTATAAGAAGAAACCCTTTTGAAACGTTCGCCTTGAAGGATCCTCATGAAGAATGATGGCTTTCAAGCGTTGAACGGAAGATTGAGAGATCGTTCGTTGCTGTCGCTGTTCATTCACTTTCGCTACGCCGAGACCACAGACTTCTTTTCAGTGCTGAAACTGGAATCCATCTACGAGTGATGAATCACTGCCAGTCACGCAGAGGATTTCACCACAGAACACTACACGTTAGCTGACAACGTGAAATATGTCAAAATAATCCATTGAAATTTCAAATGATCGTCAAGAATTACAGCTACCATAAGTGATTAGCAAAGAAAATTTAGAGTGAAGGTTCACTTCCCCTGTTTCATTCACGCTACCTATAATTTATGTTCATTTGGGTAGATGTTTTGAAAAGTGGCTCTTTAAAGAAGTCAAAAAGATTACCTCCGCGGATATGATCAGTTCTTCTGGGTATGCACCATGCCTCCATCATTGTAATGTCCTTTAGATCCGATATGGTTACATGGTCTACATGGTGGTAGCAGAAAAACCGAGATGTATGTAAATTTCATCCCTTTGCTCGTTCGAAAGCGTCTGTAAGTATTAATCAGTTTCGGAGAAATGAAAAGCTTGGCTGACCTTGCTGAGAATCAAGCGCATATTTGACCTTTTGACCATAAAGGAGGTATGTGTCGGTACCATGGTCGGTCCTATCGTTGCTACTTTTCAAAAAGTTTTTACGACCCCCCCCCCTCTCCAAACTCATCAAAATACGACCCCCCCTCCCGCTACATAGGGTTGACCCTGGTCGGTACTCTACCTGTGCCCTTTGAGCACATAGAGCCAATCACCCAGTATGGATGTTTCAGTAGGTCAATCCTAAAGAATGACAGTGAGCAGAATGGACTTAAAGGGTTCAAGCAACGCTGCTGACCTGTGTAACTATCTCGAACCTACTATGAAGGGAGAAGGATCAAGGACCCCTTATTTGGTCAATCCTGATTTAGGACGCATTCAGTGAATTTAATCCTAGAGAAGTCTGCTACCTATTCACTGACTGTGGAGGAATGGAAAACTTCTTGGCGATCTAGCTTTCGGATAGGGGGATTTAGTCCCCGTCCTCGCGCTTGGTAAGCGGTGTCACTTGCACTACACCACTTCCGCCCTATCTTGGGTGTATGGAGGTGAAAAATACAAATGAAACGGTGGTGGTTATTCCCTTTCTGCGATACACTACGCTTTCGAGCTTCATTCACAATTGCAATGACTTTTGACATTTGACACTATAAAGTCTTGCACCAGCGAAAGTTCGAGCCAGTGTTTTATCCTGCCTTTCGTATCCGGCACCTATATAAAGATTCGATTGGTTCACCTGGGGCCGGGTGCAGCAAGTCCCAACAAGGGAAGGGATATATCCCCAACCTTAGGGATATATCCCCAGGTGAACCAATCCTTTAATCATATCTACATGCCAAGGTTGGGGATATATCCCCAACCTTGGGCACCTATCCCCAAGAGATAAGTCCCAAGGTTGGAGGCGTATCCCCAACCTTGGGGAGAGGGGATGAGTCCCCATCCTCTCATTGAGGCGCACCCGGCCCCTGATCAGTACTCATCCGGGATTTCATCCCTCGGCAAAGTGAGTGGGTAAATTTTCGCCATCACAATATCCAGTCATTTATTTGTATTTGTCTATTACACACCTGTGTGCGAAATGATAAAAAACAAGAAAAAAATACATCTGTGCATAGAACAACATTCAAACAAATATGGTCGGTGCTGCCCCGTACAAGACGGACCTGCATATTAGGTTATCCGATATGGTGTGTGTCTTTTTTAGGAATTTTCTCTATAAGATCCTAGCCATACACACGATGTTATGTATTATTCATGAGAGAATTGTGTGCTCTAATGCATTGTACTTCTTCCGCATTCACTGTAGTAAGCTTGCCAAATTGCAGGTTCGCAAAGTAGAGGTCCAGTAAAAGAATTTAGCCAAACCGACAACTAACTCAAACTATACGATCCTTCCAATGAAAGCAATCAATAAGTGTACCTTTTATTTAAACACGACCACTTTCTAACGTTTCATTGTTACAGTTCTAACAAATCATGGTTCTTATTCATCGAGTGAGCGCGATTTTTTATGCCACAACTTTCCCCTCAAAACTCGAGGTTTTTACATGAGTCATTCAGGAGCGACTTTTCTGCTATTCAGGAGCGACTTTTCTGCTCTGTTCGAAATCATGTTTAAATTTTCCTTTCACTATGATTAGTGGGCGGAAGTGGTGTAGTGGCAAGTGGCACGCTTACCACGCGAGCGGTCCGGGGATCAAATCCTGGGTCGTGAGTCGCCCGGGCCAACCTTCCATCCCTCCGGGGTCGGTTAATTGGTACCAGACTTGTCTGGGAGGATAAAAACACTGACTTGTACATCGGCTGGCCCCCGCAAGTCATTGTATAGGCCACATCGCATTCAAACGCCACTACGAATGTACAAATGGAAGTAGAATGCGTGCCGCATCCCAAAAAGGGATTGATCAACGGCAAATGCTTTATCCCTTTATCCTTTATATTTTAATAAATTTCAGGTTACGTAAAAAGGCTCTTGAAGAAATGTCGACATTAGCCCAGCCATTGCGACTGTCGACATTCCTTTAGGAGAAATTTTCACCAAAAATGCAGAAAATCTGTCACTGATGTTCCCTATGCTCAGCTGCGATTGAATCTAATCATAAGCAGCTCGCGAGTTTTCAAGTGCCTCGGCGATAAAGATTTTTTATCTAGATTCATCGAGGTAACCGTCAACCATCGTGTTTAGGTTGATAACCAAATTCCCAGAAAGATTGATGCGACTTGCTGGAGGGTCATGCAGTGGAATGTCAAGAAGAGGTCGTGCTCAAGCACAGGGTACATTTCTTATTGATTTCTCTGGGAGAAGCGTAAACTTTTAGGTAGTTATCGGTTTGGCTAAATTTCGTACACTAGATCTTCCTTTTTTCAAGCCTGTAATTCAGTAAGCTTACAATGGATATGGAAGCTTACAATGATTTCTGTATAGCAAACATTCTCTAATGCTTTTCAACATTATGTGAGAAGCCTGGATTTCGTGGAAAAATTCCTATTCAAACAGGAACGACACTACTCATCGGCAACCTATTACTAGCAACTTACGATTAGTGATCAGTCCATTTTGGCACATTTTGTAAGAGTGGAAAAGCTGAGTGTTCTTGGAGGTGATCCACTAGAGTAAGGATATGAATTGGAAACCTCATAATTTTAATGGCACCGTACCGCTGGCGGTCATCAAAGCGACTCCGCTTCAACATTGACAAGAAACTCTTCTAGTGAAAACAATAAATTTCATTTAAAACAGTGATCATTACATTCAAATGTGACCTATAGTGTCATCCACGCGTCGCTCGGCAGAAAAAGCTGAATATCTGGTGGAGGGTAGTAATGTATCACAACACACTTCAAAAAACAAAACTTTTTTATCACGAGCATCACGAAAAAAGGTTTCGCAAAGAACATTCAAAAGATGTAGTTGTTCTTTGGCTAATCGATAATAATCCGAATATAATGGCGATACAGAAAAGTAGGTAAACTTCCTTGAAGCAGAAATGGTCGTGCTCGAAAAGCTGTCTTAATGCTGGGGCGCTCACTTTGAGCGGCGGCGCTTTGTGTCATGACATCCACAAAGTTCGGCGCACAATACCCTTCTACATGGAAATAATTAGGAATATAGATGTGGAAGGGGCGGAAGTGTATTTAATATTTTTTTTGTAGCAAGTGGCAAGTAGCACGCCGAAACATGCGCGGTCCGGGGATCGAATCCTGGGTCGTTCTTCGTCCGGGCCCAAGCCAGTCCATCCCTTCGGGGTCGGTTAATTGGTACCAGACTTGTCTGGGAGGATAAAAAACACTGACTTGAACATCGGCTGGCCCCCGCAAGTCATTGTATAGGCCACATCGCATTCAAACGCCACTACGAATGTACAAATGGAAGTAGAATGCGTGCCGCATCCCAAAGGGATTGATCAACGGCAAATGCTTTATCCTTTATCCTTTATCGAGTTGAAAATGACTGTTCGAGCAGTTTTATACGAGGCCTGATTCTTGCAGATCACACTCCAATATTTTTCCATCGATCTTCATACTGTTTAGAGAGCGGTTGCATGGATGGCTATTGTGACAGAAGGGAATTCAAGGATCAGAGTGTCACGTAATCTTCCGTGACTATGCATAAGTTCGCCACGGGCACTCTGGTCTAGCGGCGGCGTCTACGCGTATCTCGTTCTCGTCGCCTCTTACGCGGATGGCTCTCAATTTTTTCTCTTGTCACCTCAACAATCTCTCAAATTTCGCTGGAAAGGCATCCACTATTAATCTAGGGATGGTGATTGTGGTACACGAAAGAAGGAAGAACCATGAGAAACGGCCCAGAACCCGAGAAATGGGACCCCTTCCTTGTGCTGATTTCGAGCATTGATGCGACTCTTATCGCTGTGCCCTCCTCAACATCACGCTCTCTCTGCTATCTAATCAATCCCACGTGTAGATCTGCGGTGAGTGTAGTTGCTCGGTGCGGAGTGACGACGCCAATTTGAGCATCATAAAATAGCGACGAGGTCAAAAGTTTTCGATGCGAAGATTTTATTATTTGCGCATCAGTTGCCCTCAGAGAGGTCGTGGGTCCTCAGCTAGAAAGGTTACTTCTTCCTCGACCTCCATTCTAATCGTGAATTCCTCCTTTAATGAAATACAAAAGGAGCGATCTCTCTCCGTTCAAGAAATGATGTACACCGCTAGATGTGCCTTTAAACGCTGATCTCAAATCTACCTTCCAAATCTGCTAAACGATTCTCTGAAGGGAGTTATGAAGCAAAACAGCGCAACGGCAGTGGTCGGGATTTGCAGTCAAAACGTCGTAGGATCGGCCCCTGATCGCGTCTACTGTTTTGCCTTCTTCAGGAGTACAGCTAAAAGGCTTTTAGTAGCCTATTCAGCCTAATTCTGAAGAACGCAAGACAGTAAACGCGATCAGGGGCCGATCCTACGACGTTTTGACTGCAAATCCCGACCACTGCCGTTGCGCTGTTTTGCTTCATAACTCCATTCAGAGAATCGTTTAGCAGATTTGGAAGGTAGATTTGAGATCAGCGTTCAAAGGCACATATCTATTTGGTATAATCTGTTTTGAATGGCATGGCAACGCTGAGAGATTCTGTTAGTGTTATTTTCTTCGCACGGACAGAGTTGGTATTCTCATTCGGATACCATCTCGAGTTCATAGAACTGTGGTAATGGCAGCGTTTTAAGGGTGGGAATATGGATTAGATTGCTTATTCGTGACTACGCCTTTACGGACTTCGAGAGCTGTTATTGGCTTTAATGGAGCGAGCAGTGGACCCACCAAGATCCACAATTGCTATCCGTATTATCTGATAGAACGTAGTCTCCGCTGCTGAGGCATTGTCGGGTATTACTATTGACGAGAAGGAATTACGTATACGTGCAGCATTTCTTTATTGCTGCGCATGTCATTTTGAATGATCGTAGTCTTGGAGCGGCTAAAACATAGCAACGCCTCTTTGAAGCTGTTGGAGAATTGCTATCGAGTAATGTTACGGAATTTCAAGCTAATCCTATGACAGCGACACGACAGTCGGCGTAAATCTGTGCTTTCGATCAGATAACGCACAGGATTCTTTCGTGAGAAAACATTCCTGTAAACAACCAGACTGCAACTGATTGCCTCGTTAGTCACAGTTCTAAATCATGGCATAGGCGCCCTTTGCGAAAGAAGTGCCCGGAAGGATCACGCTTGACTATCAGCATGAGGGCCCTGAAGACTACAGTGGACTAGAAGGTGACGGATCGCGAACCGAGAGACCTCCGCGTAAGCTACAAAGAGGTGTTGATGAGTGTTGCGCAGCGGGAGAGCGCAGTGTTCGTCTGTCTGTTCGCAAATCAAGTCATTTCGCTCGTGCTGTTGTTATCTCAATTACGTGGCATTGACGCACGCTCAGTAATATTACGACCAGTTTTGGACGTTCCTTCAGCCGGTTTCGTGAGCATCCTTATAAGGCGTCGGACTCCTGCGCTCCCCTACCGCTCCCTCCGCGCACACCGTAATATGGACCTTCAAACGAGGGTCAAAGCATATCGCTTTGTTGCCTACTCGGCCGTGGCATTCTCAGTCGTCGCTGTACTCTCTGTATGCATTACCTTGCAATGGTCTAAAGGAGTGATATGTAAAGCGACACATGCAAAACGAAATAATCTCTTGTAGGGTTAGTTCTCTACTTGCTGTGTGAACCGTTCCTTTGAGTTCGTTCTACCGCCAACCGTTTCAGGCTCTGCCAAGGATATTTGGTCCGAAGTGGTGACTTGAAGGATCGCGTCACCCCTGGGGGGAAATTTGTTTTTTTTTCCAAATAGAACTGCTCGTCCGGCTGTTATGGCGATGCTGAAGTACGAAAACATCAACAGGAGGTAGCGTGGAGTGTTTGTGAATCTTGGCATTAAAGAGCTGCGGGGTCCTGGAGGTGTCCCTGGGAGCACCCGGTTGGAAACCTGGTATGCCTGACTCGGGCACACAGGAACCTGAAAGCTCTGTTCAACCATGCAACCTATCTCCCCCCCTTGCAAGACATGTGTCTCAACCACCTAAGGGACCACCTGCCACCCGGTCCACCTGGACCGTCAGGAGACCAGTGTTGCTCCTGGAGCCTGGAAATTGCTAGCGAACTGAAGGAATCAAGGAGCACCCGGCAAAGGACCACTGGACTGCCGGTGGAGATGGTTAAACCAGGAGCGAATGGCGAAGCTGGGCTCGGCTTGAGTCGGTGCGGGTGGTTCAGGAGACCGGACTGCCGGATCCCTGTCAGAGGAGAAGCATGCGACCAAGGGACAACAGGAGATGCGGGGCACCTGGACCTGTGGTCCAAAGGGCCTTCGAGGATCACAGGCACACCTGGAGCTGATGGTAACTCTGGAGCGCCTGGTCAAGCTGGTACAGCAGGATCACAAGGAGAAAAAGGAATTTGTCCAAAATATTGCGCTATCGATGGTGGAGTGTTTTTTCGAGGACGGAACTCGACGATAGATTCCTGATCAATACGCCAATAAATCTTTACATAGCATGATGTAGCACACAATTTGGGAATTCTACACACAGTCATAGCATTCGCTAGACATACTTTAACGTGCTTAGCTGACCAATTACGTAGAACATTGTGGGTCTCTCATGGAGGGTTAGAAACCCTAAATCAGTTCACTGGTCGCGGGGAACGCACGACCCTCTCATTTTATAAGATATGTAAGTTGTTTCAGAAGGATATGCTAAGGAGCTAGTGAATAAGATGAGATAGATTTGATGGTGGACTTGAAAAAACGGGGGTGGTTTAGGCATCTGTTCACAATGTTCCTCATGGGGTAGACACAAACGTCTGCTTTCTTTGAGAGCGAGCACTAACAGCGAAATCAAGCGCAAATATTAAGGAAACTCTTTGGTTTACGTGAACCGCTTCTAGCGGCCAATTTCACCTCCTGGACTTAATGTTTTTCAGGTATTTTACTATAAAAAGCGTTTGTGTCACGAAAATCATAGCACGCGTCGCACCAGTGGTGGAACGTTGGGCCGTACAACTGAGTGTAGAGCCTGGGACGGCAACACCTCTGGGGAACCGTAATCGATAGCAGCTGATAAGGGCTGATAAGAGGAGATGAAACGCGATTTTACGAAATTCATAGTACGTGTCCTTTCCCAAGGCGTTGACTCCAACAAGTGATGAGAGGGTGGGACGGGAACATCTTCGGTGGACGTCAGAAAATGAGAATAGCTGATAAGGACTGGTAATAACGATGCGTACGACTAACAGAGATCAACGTTAATAAGGTTATGAGAATAAGAATGAATATCATTTCATTTACAGGTTGTCATCGCCTCATAGCAACAAATGTCCAACAATCGTATAAGAACATTTTTTGGAGAATTGGCAAAAAAGTAGATGGTAGGATATTAGAGAAGGAAAATAACGTAATAATGATATGGGTTCTGATATTGGACATCGATTAGCAACAAATATAATAAAAAATTCTATACTCTATATATATAATTGGCTAAGTGTTTCTGTTGGTGTGTGTGCGGGTGTGTATGTTTGACCGGAAATTCATAGCGCGGGCACCAGCGATTACTAGGAGTTGGTTTTGAGTATGACATAGGGGGTGAGACGAGGACATATTTGATGGGGAAAGAAAGTGATTACTAATACTGATAAAAATCCGATAATAGAGGGCCAGCCGAATGCAATTCCCGAATCATGGCGCTACACAGTAGCAGCGAAGCGTTGTCTTTCGAATATGGGTCGCGCAATTTGCCGCGCGCCTTCCCGGACGAGCCAAAAGTCCGTCGTCCTTGTACGTGGGGGATATGAAGCAGAAGAGCCCAGCTGAGCGGTGCAGAACTGGGCACAGGCTCAGGATGGTTTTTCGTTGCGGGGATTTACTCATTTGTCTTTTGTGCCAGTTTCTGGTAGAATCCTACATGTCGTTTCTGAGATTGCATATGTAACGCGTAAGATGAGTTTGCGACTGACTTTCTGCACTATTATTATGTTGTATACTGCCGTGAAGTATGTTCAGGCGTTTCGCACTCAATCTGGCTCAGATTCCCAGCTAATAAGGAACTAGGGTATGTTGAAGTGGCCATCCGAAATGAGATGTGCAATGGCGCTCAAAAGTCTTTGGAATACTTTCTCGACTGGTAATAAAAAATAAGCAGATTCGAGCTTTCAAATTTTAATATGTTTTGAAGGCAAACCTTCGCACTGAACTAGCGCGTACGTGTTTAAAGGGAGAAAGAGTTAGAATGAAAAAGAAAAAGAAAAACGCTTCACTAGAAATTATTGAGCGTGACTAAATCCCAAGTAACTTGAACTTTTGGCAAAAATTTACAATGCAACAAAATAGTCGACCGCGTGATAAAATACATTAAGCAGGTTTGATACTTTGTTATACCTTTTAGAGAGTTTGTAAAATTAAATGTGGAATCAGTCAAAGAATGCACTGTTGATATATCCTCAATTCTTCTTCAGATTTGACAAATTTATCATCAATACTCCCGTTTTTTCTGCGAAAGGTTGCCCACCCTTTCCTATAATGTTTCGATGTCGCTAGAGAATGCGAATGAATTCAACCACCTGTTAAGGCAGCGCTTGCTGTTCGAAGCGCTCCTGCACAGTTGAGATGCAGCGCTTTACGTCGCTCTGCCGCTAGAAGATGAAGTCAGTACGGTCCTGTGCCATACGAGTAGATTTACGCAACAAATATCGTAGAAATAACGGTATGCGCACGTTTCACCACTACCGAAGTCGGGGCTGTGGTCCAGGTATTTCTACGATTTAACATAATCGCGTCTCGCTCGTTCAACGGATGGCAGTTTTCACACTTGGATCGAATTTTTTGTCAGGGCCCTCAGAAATGCTATGCCTGTCTACAATACATTGACAACTTCACTTCTCGTCGTTCCAGATGACGTGGGGAGAGCTTGTTGTGGATCTCCAGTCCAAGTTGTGCCGTAACCTCATATATCGCTTACCAATTTGTCACTCGAGTGTCGCAACTGGTGAGGCGACGGATGCAGATAGACTATAGAAGTGTTGGTATTCATTTGTAGCACTGTACGCGCGTTAGTTTCTACGACCCAAACATTCGCATATCAACTCGCATCAAGTGCTTTGAATGCAGAGTGCTTAAAGCAACAGTCCAGGCAGGGTTTCAACTACTTGGTCATTAGGCGGTCAAAACATGCCCCAGCCCAACTAAAGTTTATAGGAAATGTCTTTAAGTTCAAAACCTACCTCTAAAATGCGCTGGAAGGGGTCGAAGTCCTCTTGGAGGGGGCGGATCACTCATACCGAGGCGGATCGCTCAACATACGCTGTGCAGAGTCCGTGCTTGACTAGCGGTCGTTGCGGGACCGCCGCGCTGTATGAGGTCGATTCCATAAGAACGCAATTGAAGCGCTTCAATTTCGATTGCTGGCAAATAGTTATGTATTTGCAAGCATGCAGCTATTTGCCAGCAGTTGCAATTGGAGCGCATGTACTACGGGCAGGTTCGGACAACTCGTCCAACACACGTCTCCCTAAACGGCAGGGGGAGTCCCTGTCTAAGCCCCTGCCCGACGTTTTTTTCTACTTTTTCTTTCTCCATTGACCAACTTCTCACCTGCAACGTCATTATAGGTAGTCCTTACCCGCGAATTTGTTCCTGGATTGTTGCTTTTAAACAGTGAGGCGAGTTCATTCGCATCGAAACACTATAGGAAAGGGTAGGCACGTTCGCAGAAAAAACGCAGAATTATGAGAATCTGCAAATTTGAATAAATGTGAGGAGTTGTCATAGACAATGCTCCTGGAGTATCCACAGTAGTCTTAACAACTCGAAAGTTCTTAATGAAGTATCAAATCTGCTTAATATTTTTTATCATGCGTTTTTATTTTTATCATTTATCATCACTATTTTGTTGAATTGTGAGTTTTTACATAATTTGGAACTTGCTTGGGGCTTAGTCATGCTCGAAAGTAGTGGAGGATCCATTATGCTCAACTCTTTCTCATCAACCTTATTGTGCTATTAAGCCTTCAGTGGAGAGACCTGCCTTCAAACATTGAAATTGAATGGTCTTGATCGCGTAGAAAAAAGTTATAGTCAAAAAGATTTCTAAAACCGAAACTGTATAGTCATATGATAGAGTCTTTGAAATCTAATCTTTGCTGTGATACAAAAGGACAGAATACAGGGCAACGGGTCAATCAAGGTGGAGAATATTGCAGTTAAAGATGCCCACTTGGATGTTGGACCGTTGCCCTGTATTCTGTGCCGGTCTCTTTTCTGTGAGGCCAAGGGTCAGTCCTTGACATGTTCGCTTTTTTTTTTACTTGTTCAGAGGTATGTTTGAGAGGTTTGCAAACCATTTACATGGTTAGGGGGACTAATCCTGCCAAAAACCGCTGCGTACGGAGAAATGGACCTCTTCAGACACTTAATCATGAATTCATCCGATCGGCTCTCTCTTCAGCACACCGAATAAGTTAAACCTAGAATTCGCCAAAAATCTTTAACCAGGGGTAAAATGAATATGCGACGAAAAGTCTCATGATCTTTCTGCGTCAAAATATCTCGCTCTCCACAGAGCAACTATTGCATTTGTGAGTGGCATTAAAGAGGGCTCAAGAACTTGCTCCATAAAGCCCGCAGTATAGCATCTCAGCTAAACGATGGATGCTGTATCCAGTCTAATACATCTGGGAAAGTGGGGCAAGCAACTGTATATATATACTTATATCCTACTATATATAATTCGCTAAGTATGTCTGTGTGTGTGTGTAGGTCTGTGTGTGTGTGTGTGTTTGTCACGAAATTCGTAGCTCGGGTCACAGCAACGATAGCGCCATGGTTCTTACATATGTTATAGGGGGTGGGATGGGGACTCAAGTGGTACGTGATAGGAACTGATAACGACTGATAATAGCTGATAAGAGGGGCTAGAAAGCGAGCATCGCCAATTTCGTTTTGTCGTTCATATTGGTACTAGAGCGTCTATACTTACAAGTGTTATGTAGGGTGGTCCCGGGACAATGGTGGTACATGAATGGAAGCGATAGCAACTGATAAGGGCTGATAAGGGGCGTCAGAACGCAAAAGTCGTCGATTCCGTTACCAGCTCGCATTGAGACCAGAGCAACCATGCTCACAGGTGTTATGTGTGAGACGGGGACATTGTTTGGTGGGTGATTGAAAGTGGTTACAACTGATAAGGGCTGATAAGGGGCGTCAGAACGCAAAAGTCGTCGATTCCGTTACCTGGCTCGCATTGACACCAGAGCAACCATGCTCACAGGTGTTATGTGGGGTGGGACGGGGACATTGTTGGTGGGTGATTGAAAGTGGTTACAACTGATAAGGGCTGATAAGGGGCGTCAGAACGCAAAAGTCGTCGATTCCGTTACCTGGCTCGCATTGACACCAGAGCAACCACACTTACATGTGTTATGTGGGGGGGGACGGGGACATTGTTGGTGGGTGATTGAAAGTGTTACAACTGATAA